GACTGTTTCACATAAAAACATGTAGTTAATTAACAATTAACTTTATTCACTCTCAGATATAACTAACTGGGGTGACGACTACACAAGAGCTCTGACATTCAAAAAGTATGTAGTAATTTCCACCTTTTGACTTGACACTCAGATCAACTTACAACAGATCAGTTACAACATAATGATTGTTGGCTAGCTAGTAATAATACATTTTATTCATTTGGATTCTTCAAAACTTCAGATAATTAAATATAAAAGTTCATCAAAAAGGTGCAGCTTCCTGAAAACTGTTTGGATTGCCATTTTAATGAAGGTTATTGTAAGCCATTGTTTTCCTGAACTGCAATTGCAAATGATCTTTTTTAATTAAGAATTTTTGGTTTTAAAATTATAGGTCTGTCAAATATTTAAATACTTATGTCAATACAGTAATTTGTGCAGTGTTGCCTGACAGGTTAATTTAGAAATTCTGTTTGTTTTCAGATTCTGTTAAGAGATTCTGATACTGCTGCTTGCATATTTTAAATTTCTCCCTTGATAAAATGAAAGCCATGAATTAATTTTTAGTTTAGTTTAAAATAGCTATTAAAATATTTTACGAAAATAAATGGTTTAATGTGTGGGTTGTTTTCTCTCTAAGCATTAAAAAATATACACATCTCATGTTTAATACATTGAAAAATATTTTATCAACTGCTCTTGCAGTGTTTAATTATCCAAATTGCTTTGTTTTTTCCATTTAGAACCATTTCATTCATGTATGTGTAAAAATAATTCCCACCTTTTATAAATGGAAAATTTGACACTAAACACTAATCTTATATTTAACATCAAATATTGGAGGAAAAAATTTAATTTTATTGACAAGTGAATTAAAATTTTTTTTTAAATTCTGAAATTATTCTTGGAGCTGTTTTTTTTAATAATGCTTTAAGATGATTTGAAAACGTATTATGAAGATATCTTTCCACATTATCAAAATTTCTACCGTAAGATGTTTAAATATATGGCTTTGCAAGCTTATATTGTAAAATCATAAATTTTAAATTAAATATTCAGTTAGATATTTTTACAATGAGCATAATATTATCAGCTGCTTTGCAGCTATGTATAAAGTCAAGGATTTATTGGAATTTTTAAAAATTTAGTAGCAATTTTTTTTTCCTTCTGCATGAGAACATGTAGAGAAGGTTAAGGTATAACTTGTTGATCTTGACTGTGTGATCTGTCATATCAAGAAAATTTTTCTAAATATGAATTTTTTGTGAAACCTTTTTGGCAAATTTTCTGATCACTACTATTATTGTCATAGTGAATTAAATGGCAAATGTCCAAAATAGTACATTGGAAATTGGCATGCAACATAAGATTTTCATTTTTCACTGTAATAAAATACAATAAATATTTTATAATGCAGCTATCCTTCAAATAGTATATGAATTATTAATTGAAAAATTCGTTCTGATGAAATAAGACAATTGATGTCATAAACTATGAAACTTGTTTTATATTAAATTTGGTTCAGTTTGATTTTATATGTAGTTAATTTGATTCTTCTTCAGCTTTTTATTGTAAACAAATTATACATGTTTGAAATTCAGATAACTTTGGCACAATTTTTTAAAGCTTTAAAAGAAACAATAGTTAAGTGTGTAACTTTCAGTTATGCATACCAAAAATTTTTTTTTGTCATATACTACTTGTATATCAAATACAATGTAAACTGCTGCAAATTCTGGAAACAAAGTTTAATAAAGACTTTTTTTTTAAATTTTGATTTTCAAAATATTAATTCCAATTATATATTTAACTTTAAAACTGATTTTAATACAATTTAGTTTACTTGGATATTTTTACATTGTGTGCATTTTTAATTTGTAATCATAATGGTAGCATTTTGTTTATGAAATGTTCAGAACTAGTGGATCTTCCTATCTAATTGAAGACTATGTAAGGGTAGAAGTTTTATGAAATTTGTGATCAATATGATTTTCATGCCAAATATTGTATACTAAAATGGAGAAGGTACTGAGGTCAGCATTATTTGTACATTTTTTATCACTAAAAACATACAATAAAATGATAAACGTACATGTAATGCCGACCTCGGTGCCTTCTCCATTTTAGTTTATACTAAAATCATTAGAACATATTTCAGATATTTCTTTAAATTGGTCAAATTAAAATATATTAAAAAATTTTAGTTGATAAATTGTAGCAAAACTATTCTAATATTTAAAATGCATATTATTTGTAATCTGAAAATAATAGAACTAATTAAATCTTGGCATTTCATTAGTTTTGTTTTTAATGGTATTTATATGATAAAATTTTTATGTAGTCTGTGATTTTCTGAAATAGAGCATTTAAATTTTCATTCATATTCCTACAGAACACTTCTATTAAATTTTTGATATTGTGAATGTGTATAGAGTTATATAGAAAATCTAGTCATTTTAATTATTAAAAGCATGTTTGGTTTTTTTAAATTGAAGTCCAAGTACTATTGTGAAGTTTTTACATGACTTTGAACTTATAAGTGTATAAGACAAAACATTATAACAGTATAAAGTTCTGAACATTTATTTTACATATAAATTAATGAATCTTCACTTCAACTGTGTACTATTAGTCAACTTGTTTTTCTTAATGCTTAAGAAAAACACATTTGATTAGCAATTTGATTATCCTTTAAATAAAACTGTTTTTCTGGAGAAAACATACAAAAACTTACTTTTGTATTTTGGAAAAAAACACCCATAGCTTAGATTTCAAGTAAAAAGTTAAAATGCAAATACCAAAAGCTCACTTGTTCATGGTTTGTCTGTTTTTTTTCTTAATGTCAATATGTACTGTACATTATGATCTATTCCAAGAAACTTCGTGCTTTTGCTTCCCAAAGAACACGTCAAATTTCTTTTTAGATTCTAAATTTAAAATTACAGTAAAATATATTATACTTAAGAAATTGCTTTTTCTAAATTCTTCTTAATAAAACTTATCATTTAGCTTAAATTTTTTAAAGTGAAACTTAGGTTTAATATTTTAACAGAATTTTGTATTATATTAATTTGGAACAAAATTTTGTTTTCCAGAATTTTTCATTTCCCATTTTGAGCCTTTTTTGTATTAATTGTAAGACTTAGCATCTTCTTTCAATATTTATAAAAATAGTTCTCCATAATTTTGAAAGCAATGAATTCTAGATTTTGTAGATTAGTTTAGAAGACAGCTGCGTTGAGCAGACTTTCCAGTTTAGCTTAGTAATAGGATTGTTACTTGCCCTGATTATGTAGCCATTGTCTAATGCAGACAACAAACAAAAATTGTCCACTATTTTCTAAAGTATCTATTCAGGAGACGTTAAAATTCATGTTTTCATATAAAAAGCGCAAAGCACTGATCATTTCTAAAAATAAGTACTAAATATTTTGTTTTTATAGGATGCCCTTGTCAAACAAGATTCAGTTCCATTTTTTAGATATCCTACATTCAGTGGAAAAACATTTTGGTAGTACTTCTCTTGCTTAATTTCTTTCATTATTCAACTTTGCTTTGTTATTCTTTCTTTCAAAATCTTAGTAAATCAAATGATCCACGTTGAGAAATTTTATTAGAAATGCTGCTTGAAATATGGATAGCATTTATTGGTTAATTTTAGATACTAGAGTTGTTGTAATTTTGATTTCCATTATAGTCCAGATCTAAATTTCTCTCTATTTTTTAATCATTACTTTTTAACTGTTAAATTTAGCATAAAATGATGCTTAGCTCTATTACCAAATTAGGACAATTTTTTACATGATAATTAACAACGTAAGATTCTTTCTATTTGTTTGTCTAGTTTGATTTCTGTTTATTTTTTACAAAAGTTGTGAAAGAGTACTTGAAAAACTGCCAGATTGCCATTGAATGCCAATTATTTTAGTAGATACCTTTCTTCAGATGATTTGGTCCCGAAATGCTTTGCTAAATCAGAGCTTGTCTTCTGTGATGCATTTTTGAAATACAGTAATACCTCGACTTACGCAAACCCGAAGTTATGCGATTTTCAAATCTTGCCGATTCGTCTTTTGTTTGAGTGCCATGCAACTCTTGATTACTCACTTCCCCCACACTATTGTTCAGCTTGCTTACATGTTCGGATGTGTCGCGCGGAATTGACACATAGCTACAATTTATTTTGTTATTTATTTCTGTTTGTTATATCTATGGAGACTCGAGAGACTCTGTGGTGATTTCTTGTAACTGTGAACGAATCAAAAGACGAGATAAGATTAACGAGAACATTTATTAGCTTACATACATCAAACTTGGATTTTACACAAATTGCTAAATTATACCCCGACTTACGTGGTTATTGCTCGGTCCCACCTATCACATAAGTTTGGAGTATAACTGGAATATATTAAAGCAATACATCAAAAATGCTCCAATAAACCTTTAAAATGCAGCTTATTTTGCTAAATACCAAATGTTTTTGGTCAGCTTTACTGACCTTCAGGCTTGAACAAAAAATTTTAATTTCAAACTGAAAATTCTTTTGCCAGAACAATTCTATTAATTTTAGATGTATTGCAGTAAGTGCAGTTAAAGATATAGGAGACATATATATTAAAGCATTTTTAAGTCTGTTTCTTATGATAAACTCAAAAGACTTTTTTCTAAATATTAATATTATTTAATAATTCATTTAAAAAAAAATGAAATACTTTGAAATATTTTTTAGTTCCACTTATTTCTAAGTATCACAAATTTGTAAAATGTGATTTTGTTTCAACAATTATTTATATTAAACTTTAAAATCTACTGAATGCATCAAAAAAGCTACACTAAAATTTTCAAATTGGCAGTTTGTTTGTCAGTAAATGTTCTTTAATAATTTGCATATAAAACTACTAAATATATTTGAAAATTTATCTAATTAATTATAAAAATGAAATAGATAAATTTTATCTATTACAGAAATATGCTAAGTTTTCTATAAACTTTGTTTTTACTTTTTTTAGATATTAATGAATGTGAATTAGGTATTCACACTTGTCATCCATCTGCAACCTGTGTTAATGAAGAAGGCAGCTTTAGTTGTAAATGCCAAAATACAACAACTTGTTCTCTTAGTAGGTTTTTATTATTGACATTTAAGATTTAGTTTAAAGTGCACTGTATAAAATTTACTTTATATTACAGATTGCCTATATTATGAAGAAGAAAAATATAATGGGGAGAAATGGATATCACCAACAAATCTTTGTCATCATTGTAACTGTGTCAATGGTGTTGTGCATTGTGAAAGATCTTGTGACTGTAGCAGTGGCAATGTGGATACTTCTTGCTGTCCACATTGTTATAAAAATAGGACTTGTAAACATCAAGAATCTTCAAAAATATTACAGAATGGAGAAAAATGGATTTATCAGTGCCAAACATGTGAATGTCTGGTAATTTTAACCATGAAATTTTTAAACTTTTAGGTCTGACATGTTGCAGTAGAATTATTACTAAGTTTTTAAATTTTCCATTTCAATAGAATGGTGAGATTGATTGCTGGGAAATGGAATGCCCTCCTGTTTCTTGTAATGAACCTACATACCGACCAGGTGATTGTTGTATTCATTGTGAAGAACAGACCTGCTCACAAATAGTTTATGGTAATAATCTGTCACTGAGTATTGGTTGTATGTATCATGATCATACTTACAATTCAGGAGAAGTTGTACCAGCTACTCATGATCAGTGTGCTTCCTGCAAATGTCAAGTAAGATATTGCAATTTCTATTATTGAATGAACATTTTTTTTTCAATTTAAAAAATGATTAACAAGCAAGTTAATCATTTTAAATATAGAAACCCGTACACATTATTTTTGTAGTCTAAATTGGAAGTGACTTTTTAAGTATTAAGAACTGGATCTTTTAGTACAATGAGCTTTTTAAATGTAAAGAAATCTATCTTTTCTTTTGCATTAAGTTCATAACACCAAAAGATAAATAAAATATCCTTCAATAAAAAATACCACCAAAAATTTATTCCACTAAACTGGAAATGTTTGGAAACAATATACAGTAGCACTTCATATTCAAAGATTTTTTTACAAGATTTGAAACGAATAATATAAAGAAAATCACAAATATAAATTTTATTAAAATGGACAGTCAATATAATTAATTCTAGTTTTCTAAAAGAATCATTTGCATTATATAAACAAATTTGACAAATTTTTAAAATAATAAAAAAAAAATCATGTAATTTTTGAGATTTTTTCTTTATTCAGAAAATTAAAAGTGCCTACTCTTTTTAAAAAAGCGAATCAGATACATTTTACAAATACAGCAATTCGTTTGGAACTGAATAGTGACTTAAATCTTCAGATTTTGCATGTAGTAATAATTAAGTTTTTAAGTCTTAATTAATACAAGTGCATTTCAATTATTTATACTTATGTGGATTTACTTTAAAACACACTTGAAAAATTCTAGATTAAACTTATTATTAGTGAACATAATTTAAGAATGCATTAAGAAAAGAAGAAAAAAATGTGTACAGGTTATTTATAACTTCCCCTTTAGTCAATTTCTAACAAATTTGCACCAAAAATTAAAATATTTCTAATTGTTTTTAAACTTGTCATTTTGTTCTGATTTTAAAAAATTTTTTCAAATCCTCCAGGTGATTTTGTTAATTACTTAGGAAGGATGATTAATTTTGAATGAAATGAACATTGAAATGTGCATTCAAATCTACTCCATGATGTGCTGTGCAGCAATGCAGCCTTTGCTTGTTTTGGTGCAAGTTTGATTTGGTACTAACAATGTGGAATGAAAGTGAAAATCTGTTGGTAATTCTTCTTCTGTTCAACTAACAAAATAACCATGTTACTAATAAGAGAAGTATTTAATTTTAAAATTTTTTATTAATGATGAAGTAAGTCTAATTGACTAATAATCAGAAGAAGAACCACCTTTTTTTGTTTTCCACATTAATATTAATATTGGTTAACTTTTAACTATCCTGTTGTTGTTCTGTCTACATAATACTCCTCTTACAGGTTCCACACTGTGAACACTCGGTGAGCAATACGGGTTATAGTTCCCATCGGTAAAGCCATTTTGTTGAATTTAACACATCTGCATAGCTGCACACACTTCTACTGCTATTGCATCATTTTCTTATGCATGGATTTTTAATCTTTTTTTCCCCTTATTGCTTAAATTAAGTAACAAACTAAAATTCTTTTTTAATTCACTTTTTAAAATTTTAGTATGCTTTTTCACTTAATTTGTATTTTCTTTGTGCAATTCTTGCTTAGCTTAATTAAAATAAATTTAAATAAAGCAATCATAAACATTTCATTATGTTTTGACTGTTAGGATACTGCTAATTTGTACTGCAATATTTTGTTATACAGGATAAGATTTTTCCGTTTATTCAAATTTAAAGTTTTGCTTTTAATTAGTATTATTTTTAATGACAATTTTAATAAAATGGCATTAATTTCATTTATAAATTTTAGCTGTAATGTTAAATCTAGATAAACTGCCATTATTCTAAATTAACCTTTATATAACATACTGTTTATGCATTATACCAGTATGCTTCTAAACTATAATAACAGGATTATTTATTTATTGGAAGTTATAAATGTGCACATTTAAATTAAATTTTACCATTTCTCAAATTATAAACTGATTTTAATACATTTTGGAAAAATACATCTAAATTTTAAGTTATTCATTTGAAATATGAATTGGTTGCTTCCCTGATTTGCTGTAAAACAGTTTGTCTAAGAAAACTTCAATTTTTGTTGACTTCTTTTTTTCTTTAGTGTTTGCAGGTTAACTAAGAGTTGAACCTTTAGAGTATTTTATTATCATGCTCGATTGCTTTAGACAGAACTGACTGTACATGTCAAACTTTCAACTTCTCAAATTCAGGTGTTTAAAAAATTATTTTTATATAGAATGTAGATTACATAAAAGGAAGCTGTTTTAGTTATTGATAGTTTAACCATACTTTACATGTATATACCATACATAGTTTAGCCAACATTTTTGTAACAATAATTAATCTTTAAATAAAAGCAAAACATTGATTTCATTATTTAAAATTTTAAAACAAAATGGATACAGTATAATGAATTCATTTTAGAATTAGAATTTTATATCTCAAAGTAAAAAATGCATATACTTGTGTTTCATACCTATGTCCATATTAAGATTAAAAATTTGTAATAAATCCTGTTTTAAGAGGGTTAAATGTAATTTTAGTTCTTTTTTCAAATGTTATTTTAAATAAACATATAGTAATTTCTGTATAAAATACAATATTGTCTACATACACTATAGTTAAGTGTGTATTTTAATTTTTATTCGTAAACAGATATATAGTTCAACTGTAAATTAAGCATAAGCTGTTTTTATACATTTAATAAAATAACTTGAATATATTAATCTTTAAATAGTAAGACTTTTTAAATTACCTTAGTTTGGACTGATACCCTAACACTAGAAATCAGGGAAGTGATTGAGATTCAGATATCATTTATTGAAGTATTTCAAAATTTCTAAAGTATCTAATATGTAAAATTTTATCTAACTAAATCATTAAGATCTGCCTGTTTAGATGTGATGGTCTGTTCTTGATTTTCATAATGGTTTATTTTCAAATTTTAATATTGCCTCTAGTTGTATGAAAATGTTATCCTCATTGGTCATATTTAAAATATTTTAAGAAAGTTTTAAAGTTAGCTTCTGGAAATTAATTTGTCATACATATTGAAATGTTTATATTTAATTCAAATTAAATACAGTGACACTGGATTATTTTCTATTTTAAAAATTTGTTTTCACTTTTCCAAAAATTTGATCATATCATAAACTAATATTGTTATTTTGTCACTGTCTTTAATTTTTTAAAAATCTTTTTATGTATACTTAGAGCAATTTTTAAACAAAAATACAAATTTTTATTTTCTAGAATGGACAGCTCTGCTGCTCATATAACTCCAATTGTTTGGTTAATAGTGATGGCTCTGCTACTAGTATGTCCTTGCAACGTGATGTTTGGAAAAGGAATTTTAACACCAACAGACTTGCTACCTCTCAAGATCGTGCCAACACTGAAGGCCTGTTGGATTTTTCTTTTGACACTTCATCCCATACAGAGGATGACAGGTTATCAAAGTCACTACTTTCTGTGTCAAAGGACTTCACAATTCCTAGTATTGCCAAAAAGGAATCCAACAGCAAAAAGTTCAATTCAGGCTCTCAAAATTCCTATCTAATCAAGCGGTCCAGAAAATTTCTGGTTGATACACACAATCAGCTATAGTTTGAAGGAGTGCCTGTTATACCTACTGCCAGTTAACATACCAATGAAATTCCAAATAAAAAGGAATCATTTCCTTTTATGTTCCTGAAATGAGAAGAAAGGGACAGTTCATTGTTAGATGGACTTGAGTTAACAGCTGTGAAGATGTTTCCCAGAAATAAAATGAAATATTTGTTTGGATTATGAGGGATCTAGTAATATAGTTAACTCAGTTTGACAATTTCCTAAAATGTACAAAACCTGCTTGTTGTGCCATTTGAAATTTGACTCTTCGGTTGTAAACAAGGTCCTGCTCATATTTATTTAAACTTTTGAATTTTTGCATCTCACAAATTTTTGATACAACTTCAAGTATATTTGTTTCACTGACTTTATATAGACTGTGCACATATGCAAAATACTTTTAAATATACTGTAATTTGTATATATAATCTGTTAAATGCTAGCCCGAAGCTATCGTGTACTTAATTTATTTGAGATGTGTAATATATTGTCGAGTGACGGGTTCTGGCTAAACTAGCAGAATTGTGATGTTTCATCGGTTGAGTGTGCCATGCCTGAAACAAGACAGCTGTCATTCAAGAGCTGGACTCTTGGACAAATTTTCAAATTTTTGCCTTCTAGCATACTTCTGTTTCTTGCCATGATCTCTACAGTAGAGTTCTGAGCACCTATTGTTTTTCATCTATAATAATAGTTACAGGGAATTGTCATGTTGTAATTTGTATGCAAAAAAGCCACATTTAAGTGTCCAAGTACCGCACGGCTTCAGGTCACAGTATTTTGGTGCCAGAAATTATTTTCGAACTCGACACCAATGCAGTCACCCGTAGGAACAAGAAGCCTAGAACAAAATTGCCTTTTTTTTAAAGTCCGAATTCGGAATGTTTTGGTTCCTACTAGCAACACGAGTCAATCTCCAGGAAGCATCTGGCAAGCGGGTAACGTGTGCCAGAGACGTCCCTGGCAGCTGGGGACATCAGGCCTATGCAATACGTCTTCCTTTTTGAGAGGTTAATTCTCTCCATGACAACTAGTTCTTAAGTTAACCATTTAGAAATTTAGTGTTTTTTCGCTTTGTGTTTTTCAGATGAAGGCACTAAACTCTGCTCGCTTCCGTAATTCCAATACTTGTATAGCAGTCAAACATAAGATTCAAAATATTGCCATAGATGTTTTTCAAATTGAACCATGGGCCATCTAGTCAAATCAAAAAACTGTACGGATTTGGCCCACTGCTGCCTCTCTCCGCCTCCACACACAGGTGGTTGCAAACATACCAATCTATCATAGATAAGCTTCTTGTGATCCGTAAGGTGGAACTCTACTACGAAAACAGTACTTCTCACTGAGGAGCCTGCCTCCTCCTAGCAATTTTTTTGCTTTGTTTGTTGTAATATCAGTTAGGCATGCACTCATTATTGTATAACTGTTAGGGTCGTGGAATGATTCTTAAATTGGAAAATTGTAAGATAATGTAAATAATTATACGTTCCCCTATGATTAATAAAGTGAACAAAGAGAATTTGTAATATATGAATTTTAAATATGACATGTAACATTTTGCAGTTACTTCAATTTTTACATACATACACAAACCACTAATGATTCAGTTGAAATGAAAATTTTAATGTCAAAGCAGTTGCTATAATTTGGCAGTTTTAAAAAAATGTATATATTTTATGTTAATGTAATCTCTATTAAAATTCTAAAATGACATAAATGTATGAAAATCAAATTGAGAAGCCAGATAACTTAACTTTATAAATGAAATAGCATCAATGAATTTAAACTGTATTTGACTAAATATACCATACTAGAGTACTAAATTTTACTTCAGATGCATTACAAAGTTTGAAATTATAAACCTAAATTTGATTTATTATTTAAATTTTACAATTAAAAATTGAATTTGATAATAGTAATTAGTGATTTGTACATAATGTATTTGATTGTATTATGGAATGCCAAGGTAGAGATTGGACTTTGTAATTTGTTCTGTTGTTAGTCCTGTTATATCCAGTATCTGTAAATTACCTAATTATTGGGAAAAAAAATTATAGAACAACTAATGATTAGAAGAAAAACATTTACAAACTTATTTCATACTTCAATAGCCATCATTAAAAATGCATTTTGTCACACCAATATCTTTTTAAGTGGAGTATAATTAAAATTATGTTTTAGGTGACTTTTAATGACCTTCAAGGAAGAAAAATAAATTCTAAATAGAATAAATGTCATCAGTATGCATTAACTTCCAAATCAAATTAATAAATTCTATACTGACAGTGTTTGTTCTATTTAGAATGTTGGTTTTTCCCTTGAAGGTTGTTTAAAAATTGTATATTGAAATTATGATGCAACACCCATACCTACAAGTAACACTTGTAAAACAATTTTCATTTTTAAAGTGTTTAAATGCAATCAATATGCTATATTTTATGATTGCTATATTCTGTGGAATGTTAGAGAAATGGAGAATAATGGTAAACAGCAGTGCAATAACTTAGAACTAAGACAACTTATTTTCATCATTGAGTCCAGTAAATTTGAATACACATGAACCTAAGAAGTTTCTAAAATCCAAAAATCATTTTTGGAATGCAATTCAATCTTCAGATTTGTTTTTAGATTCATATTTGCCCATTCTAAATAAAACAGATCAGCCACTTAATGTTCTTAAATGGAACAAACTTCATGCTTCAAACACTAATTCAAGTGTGTTAAATATTACAACTTGGTTATAAAATCTATTTGGAAATTAGTTTTCAAAATGGATCTTATACCAGATTTTTAAACAAGTTTCCACAAATTCCTATTGTTAAACATACTGTGTAAAGGTGATAGATATGTAAAATGGCAACCTTATTGTTTGATTAGTCATCAAATTACCATAATTAAACCTGTAACTTAGTTTAACAAATCTTCCTAATAATTAGATTAGTATTAATCTAATATACTAATTAATTTTGCCCTTTTTTTGTATTTGACATAGAGCTTATTCTTAAGTCTCACTTGAGAGAATAGGTTCCAATTAAATCAAACTTACCATTTTGGCAAGTTTAGTCTGGCAAGTTTGACAAAATCTTGGCAATTCTTGACAAAATTAAGACTTTCCAATTAAAATAAACTTTAAGTTTCATTTTTGGCAAATCTTGCAAAATACTTAGCATTTGGAATATAATTTGTAGTCAATAGTATTTATTTTTTTAAACAAAAGTTTTATATAAAACCAATAATCAGTGTCAGTATAACTTTGTTTTTATACAACTTTAAATGCTGTATATTTTCATTCTTAATAATTTGTAGATCCATTTCAAGCTATTTAATATATGAAAGTCCTTTATAAAAAAGAAGAAAGAAAAAAAAATTCACTTATCTTTTGTAGATTAAATAGATATACAGTAATCTACAAAAGATAAGTGATTTTTTTTGTAGCTAGCCAAATAACCATTATTTGGTTATTTCATCTTTTTCAGTTTGTTTCACCATTTGTTAGTTAAACTAACAAATGATGAAACTAATGTTATCCATTAACATACTGACTCATGTTCATTTTGTTATTTAAACAATTTAAGAGGATGTGAAAATGCTGTAATAAATTGTTTTGATTAAGCAAAGTTGGTTTTCATGTATCACTATATAAAAACTAAAATGTATCAAAGCTATGAAGGCTCATTTGTTTTATGGACAAAAGTATTTATTACTTTTATTCTAATCTATAGAGCATAACCTGTTCATTGTTTAAAATGTGTTTAACACCTTTTAAAAAGTAAGTACAGTAGTGCGTCGATTATCCGAATCAATTGGGGACTGGGGTTGTTCGGAAAATTGATATATTGGATAACCGATTGTGTACGGAAAAATATATTAACCTATGCCATGTTGAAATTTTTCTCCGTTGCGTGTCGCTTCGCGTTGAATTTTCGTCGATGTTAAGCCTAACGAAGACTATTGTATCGTGAAAAATTTTTTTATTTTGTACAAACAAAATAAATATATTGAAAAATATAAAAACAATAAAAAATTATACTTCAGAAGTTAATTTAGTATCAAAAACGTAAAATATTTGAGTAGCCCAAGACATAGCCAAAGATTGCAGCGCTACAGCACTGGCGAAAATTTAAATTTGCCGACTGGAATTCTTTCGGATGATTGACTTTCGGATAATCAAGGCTTCACTGTATTAAAATTCCAATTTATATATCAACAAATGTATTTAAGTTAATACAGATTTGAGTTTCTACTGGAATATTTAATTTACTAAAGAAATGCAATTTTAATACTTATAAATGTAACCTCATTGTCATAAATTGAAAGAATAATTCTTTATGCTCATTAGTTATTTCTCTTCTTGGAGAATGATTGCAATTTTATGAAGTTAAACTTTTAATATTGAAACTGCAAATTTTTAAAAATCTATTCTATTCTTTCTCCCCCTGGTTCATATGGAGAGTTTGAAAGTTATTTATGGATTTAAAAAAAACTGTTCCAGTTCCACTTCTAGACTGACTGACTGCCATCTTAATCTTAGATCAGTTTAAATGTCACACTAGTATATAAACAAGTTAATTTATATTTCAATACAAGTTTAAATTTTAAAATTTTTGTTACATATAAATTAGCTAAGCTGAAAATACAAGATAACTTACTATATCTTCATTTTATAATCTAATGATAATTTTCAAGTGAATTTTAAGATTGTTTGCAAATCACCACTATATTATTTTAAATCTGATTTGAAAATTTCATATTAAAATCAAAAAGTGAAATATTCTGCTTCTTAGCAAAACAATAACCCAAATATAATAATTTACAAAACTAATTATATATTAAAACGTTCAATTCAATATTACATAAAAATGATTATGTAGAAATATGCTTAATTTTTCTGTTGTCTATCACAAATAAATGTATTCACTATCAATAACTCAAATATGTTTTCATTAAAAGAATGGATATAACTAAGTCTGCTTAAAGAACTACATTTTCTAGTTTTACCAATCAATGGTAAACTTAACTTTTTGTAGTGTATAAATAACTGCAAAAGAATATAAATAGAAACTATATTGTTCAAATGTCATCACTTAATTTTTTCAATTGAATATATTTAATCTACCCTCAATCTATTACTTAAATATATATTGTATTCAGATTTATTTCCAATATTTTCCATTAATTAATTAATTGCTACATTCTATAGCATTGTTCATTTATCAATACTTATCAATGAAAATCTCAGGCAGCAAGCTGGACTTTCTCACATATGTATTATTAAAACAATGTTCATCATCCCTGAAAAACCTCTAAAATGTTTTCCTTTTTGCTTTTCTCTGTAGCATTACATTGATTATTGTAACTAGAATTAAAATCTCAAAACTGATAATTCAAATTATTTATAAATATAAGATTTATAGAATGGCTGAAAGATTCAACTGAAAAAATCTAGCATCAACAATATGAAAGATTCAACTGAAAAAATCTAGCATCAAAAACTGAAGAAAAATTTAAATAATCAAGACTGTGGACTAAAAAATTTAAATGAAAAATAATTAACATTTGTAACCTGATTATTATTTCACATATTTTTCTTCTATTCAATGAATTTTATGCTGTAAATTTGTTATTCCTATTTACTTCAAATTTTTAATGTCATTTATATATATTTTTAAATGAAGTGACAGAAGTTTGCTTGTTTTTATTGAAAAGGTTTATTTATTGTGACATCACAATGCCAGGCTGAATTTTTAATCATATTTTTAAATTAATATATATGCTCTTCACCTCAAATTAGTGTCTTGCCCCTGTACATCATACTTTTCCTGTTAGATAGCAATGGATTTGTGGGTCTTCTATCAATAACTTCTTTCAAGGGAAAAGTTTTGAATTAAAATAAAACATGAAGTTCATATGAAGTTAATTGTGGCTTCCTGTCCTAAGCTTTCCATATCCCCTTTCATCTATCTCTGTTCTCAAGATTAAGGAAAGGCAGACAGTAGGATTTTATAGGTCTACAATTTTTTCAAATTGAGGCCCAAAAGTATAAAATTTTTCATTTTAAATACTTTTTTCATGTTAAATATTTGCTTAAACAGAGGTAAAATAAAAAATGATTAAAAATGATCAGTTATTTCTTTATACTGTAAAATTGAGAATACAGTGGTGATTGGTTAATGAACAGTTCAGACTATGAACAAATCAGATAACAAACACTTTCATGAAAGATTTTTATGTTTGGACAATGAACACCTCACAGAACAAACAAGAAACAATGTAAAATAATGAATATTGATTGGTCTTCCCTTGTCTTCAGCAACAATTTGAAACTTTTCAGAGTACGGGAGACATTGACATTGACGCTCAACCCAGTATATACTTACCAGATAGTATTCCTCTGAACTTTGAAACTTTCCCTTGTAATTCCAGCCTTTTATTTTTCTGACAAAAATAATTCATTTATAGTATTCGTGAGAGTGTCGGGTGGGCACTTGTTAAGTTTCGCATCAGTTTTTATTTTCAAAAAGTGAGCGTATAATAGCAAAGGTAGAGTGGACTGATGTCTGATGTTGCTGGGCAGTATGGCTGAACTGTGGCCTACTATAGACCAGTTCAAATCTTATCTAAGAAAGATACTGTATAATAAAAACAAAATCAAGCAGCTTAAGGAATAACAAAATCACATCTGAGAAATAAAGAATATTGAAGAGCTCATAATGAAACTGAAACTGATCTGACGACAGAAGAACACCAAGAACTCTTGAATGAAAAACACCAAGAAACTTGGTAAGATATGTTTTCTTCTGAAAAAAGAATTAATGTTAATATCTGCTATTAAATATTTTTTTGAAGTGGGATGATGTCAGAACGACGGTCTTAAAATGGCATCCAAACTAGGTTGAGGTTAATAGCTTGGGGATCTCTACAATTACAATGCTATTAACTACTACTGAAAAATCCTGGAGAGAAAAGCAATCAACATTACAGATTCTTTAACTCCCACAAACGGAAGAAACATGACTAATACATATATACACACTCTTGCATTTTTATTTTTATTATTACATATAAATAAACATAGTGAGAAAGTTTTTATTTTTTGGGGTCTTCAAAACAAATTAATCAAGTTCCCATAAAAACCTATGGTAAATCGATAATCGGTTAATGAACAATTCGGATAGCGAACGAAGTCTTGGAATGGATTATGTTCATTAACCAATCACCCACTGTACTTATGTTAACATCCAGGTATAAATGCTCAAGATCAATGTGTAATGAAAAGCTATGTTCTAATCTCGAATTCTCCTTGATTTCTTATTGATAAAGCATATTGATAATTAACACAACCCAAATATCAAGACTCAATTTGAAAATTTATATGTATTGAAGTATTAAGACTATTAATCATTTAAGTAGTCTATAAACAACACTTTGAAATGAAGATATTCTACAGAACATGTAAAATATACATGTATAAATACATATACAAAATAAAAAACATTTTACCTGTATGTTACATGTAATATACACAAGATTGTTGTGCCATTAAAGTAAAATTCAGTAGCTTGATAAAAACTAATTAGACTTTACTAGAAACATTTTCATAGAAAAAACTATCAACTTGTTTATTAAAAGATTCAAAGTTACGAAGCTCTTTTTAAATATTGCCATACCAAGTTTGAAAACTGAAATAAACAAAAATGATCCTTCAGTTTAAACTCCAATTTTTTTCAATATTTTGTCTTGCAGAGACCAAATTAATTTTCCTATAATTGTTTTCATAAGTTTTAAAACATAAATTACATGACTGAAAGAAATCAGATCAACATTTTGCTTTTCTGATGTAATACAATCATCATAAATCAAGTGTCTATTATTTATGTCAATCAAATTGTGAAAATACCATTTGCTACTACATATTAGACATTTGTTTCATTATTATCTACATTCTGCACTGGTTTTATTAATGAATTGGCTTTGATGAAAGACTGGCCTTTTTGATTTGATTTTAATTGTATCACATTGCCCATGTTTCTTTTTGTTTCAAAAGAATTGATTCCTATTTTGAATAGTGTAAGAATAGAAATTAGGTTACATGTCAACCAGGAAGTGGATGTCCAAGGGTTACTACCCTTTAGGACTACTACTTGATATTAATGATGTGTCATAACAGAAGAATGTCTCCTTAGCTGAAGGCAACTCTGCAGAACTGTCTATGGCCACCAGTTTTAGAGTTTCAAAACAAACTGTTTATAGGAGGATTCAGGTGATTTTGCCAGAATCCACTGTGTGTTTCATTGACCTGTGTGTGCAAAAAAACTTGTTTAAGATAATCCAATAACAATATTCTTAACACTTTGAATGAGTAGGGCAATGTTGACACTGACAAGTCTGGATATCATCTACAGATTAAAATCAAGAAAGCAGAGAATTCAATACAATCTGATGAATAGTGCAGAGAGAGACTAGTTTGGAGTGATGATATCATAGTCTGTGATGGCATTATGCTTAATGGCTGTACTGCACTCCACATTCTTGCAAAGGGTACAATTGCTGCAACAAGGTAAGACACAATGTTTTGGAACTCTATGTGAGACTTATATAAGATGCTATGGATGCATATTTTATTTTCATTGACAATAATGCCTGCACACATAGGGTTGTATTTGTAAATAGTTTTCTTGACAGTAAAGACATTTGTCACAAGGGATGGCCTGCAAGATCTTCAGCTCTAAATTCCATAGAATATGTGGGATACTCTAGTGAGACAAGTTGCATCCTGTCAGCCTCTATCAAGAATAATGATAAAGGAACTTAAAGGTATTTTTGTTCAAGAATTGACATTATTTATCAGCTCTATCAAGAGCAAATTTTATAATCAGAGTGGGCAATCACTGTGCAGTGTGTGTGTTTGCAGGAGGTTATGCTATATTAATCATTTTCTGTGCAAAAATTTTTATGACAATGCTTAATACTTTTTTCTTGTTTTTGATTTGACATAATTTAGATTAAATTTTTGCTTTTCAATTGTTTTGTCGCATAAAGAATGCAATATTCTACTTATATGTAAAGTTTCTGTTCATACTCTCTGAAATATAACCAAATTGATGGTTATGCTGAGTTTTGGACATGAGAGTATATACTGAAAATGTATATATATTATGTATTTTATATGTACTTAGACCAATTATAACCCATTTATTTTTTATCTATAATATTCTTTGAAATAAGTCATCTAAATAAAAAACATTTTAAATAAATTTTGTATATCCTGAATGAAACAAAAATCAAGAAATTAAAACTTTATTCAATATACCAATTTTTATTTCCACTGTTGTCAAATGAGCTCTAATGACGTTCAAGATGAAATATTTTACAAAAACTTAATTATGTGCAGTGAATTATTTGCAGTTGATGTAACAAAATTATCATATACATTACAGTGATGCACGACTGACATAACAGGCTTCATTTGTCTGCAGACTTCAAACTGGATTGCCATTCTTCCTTTAAGTTAAATATATGATTGTTTTAAAATGATCAAATTTTCAAACTTGAAAATTGTGTTTGAAATAAATACTGCCTCACTTAGCCAATTTAAAAAGTTCTCTGTAACTAATTTAATACAGACATGACTGTCAGATAAAAATATGTAGTTTTGTATATCGAACGATTTCGATAATAATTATCTGTATAGTAATATATATAATATATATTTTTATAGAATTTGGAAGTTCCACCAAAATTCTAATTACAAAACATGATAATTTTACAAACTGTGGTGATATATGGCTATCAATAGAGAATTTTAGAAGGACAATGTCGCAGTTAAAATACTCCATGTTTTTCTTTGAAAATTTAAAATTCTTTTTTATCTATTTATATACACGGACTCATTTTTTGTTTTGTATTCTTATTAAATTTTCTATCTATATAAATTATAATTAACATAAAGTATCCAAAAAAAATATTTGTGGGAACTAAAGCTTCTCAGAATAGGATTAAGAATATTCTTGTCAGATAGTGCAAAAGAATCTTACAATACAGATAATTATTTGCACTTTTGTTACCAAATGTAGTTTTCCTCTTTTGGTGTTGATTTCTTTCATAAAGAAAAAACAAGCTGGATCCATCCGGCAGCAGTAGAACCAAATGCAAAATGACAAAAATCACTGCAAGACTAACGATCCTTCTTGTCCTATGCCATCATTGATTGGGCAGGATTGTAGTGTAGAGTTTGAGGCATGTGGGGACGTTCTTCTAACCGATCATAATCCAGATGAAATTCTTTGGCCACTTTTCTCCAATTTCCTGCATCAAAAAAGTAGTAAGTACCCCTTTCGTACGTGCTGGTCTTTTCTGTAGGCACCATACCCGGAGCACGGGTGATCCACACTCTTTCATCTTTATGGTACCTCCAGTCCCGGTTGTACCTGAATGAGGCAAAGAGTTCAGTCAGATTGAACATGAGTTACACATGCACTAAAACAGACAGCTGTCATTTCCACTTACAATTCTGCTGCTGCTGCCAACTGAAGAATATCACCACTGAACATATAAAATAAAAAAAAGAGGAGATCTTCACCATACCGATTTAGCTTGATTGGAGCTAATTTCTCTTTTATGCTCTGGTTGACCAGATATTCCGATGGCACATGAAAATCTAGAAAAGTAAGAAAATCATAACTAAATAATAATAATCAACAAAAAAATAATAATAATTCCAATCACAACTTAGCTTACCTATGTCTTGAGGCCTACAAGGCTGTTCAGACCATGGTCCTCCAAAATTTGGATAAAGGCTTCTATTAAATATGCATAAAAAAAATCTAAGTAAATAGAAAAATTAAAGTGCATATGTTAAAAACTGGATATGAAATTACTCTGGAGTGTTAAGATTGAGCCCTAATGTTGTTAAGTCACTCCCTAGAGCTAGAGACACTAGATTTGGATCAGTTTCCGCCACACGAATAAACGTCAACAAACCCACCATTCCAAATTGATCCATCACCATTCCTCCAGGAATATTCGTCACCCTTCCTGAAATGATAAGTATCAATTATTAAACTTGTTGTACAGCTTAACAAAATAAAATTTAGAAATTATTAGCAAACATCTGTTGCAAATATGCACTATTGCAAAACATTCCGAAAAAAAGAAAGTTTTCTTGAAATTGTATCCAATGAATTTACAAACTCTACAAAAGAAACTTTATTTTTATTTCATATAGTTTTAAGTTTACTATATCTGCTTTTGCCTAATAAAAGTTTTTCAAGAACTAGTTAAGTTTTATTGTTATTGTTGTAAATTACATTCTAATTTCCCAAATATGCATTATTATATTCTTGGAAATAATATATTATTATATAATTTAAATTGTAAAAATACCAACATAAAAAGATACTTAAAATGGCATATCATATAATCATAACAGAACGTTTATATTAATTATAAAAGCATGGTGTCATTAATTGAAAATGTATACAAATATGTACAATGACATATTGCAGTGTTTTTCAACCTGTGGGTCGCGACGCCGGGGGGGTCACAAAGCCATACATGGGGGGTCGCAGGTAAAAGAACAAGACAAGTGTTTGTAGGTCCTACACTACAATAAAAAAAACTACAATTTCAGTGAGAAGACTGTGCCTGTTTATTTTACGATACAATTGGTTTTTTGATCGATATTTAAATCTCAACAGAAAGAAAATTAAATATGTACAGTAATTTTTAAAATCACTGACATAGTTTTAATATGGCCGTGGGGGTCGCCAGAACTTTTTAATTTGTAAAGGGGTCGCATATTCAAGAAGGNGTATCTACCGTCTTATAGGGGGATCTACTGTATTTACATCAGTGCAGCCTTCATAAGTTTCTAAAAGGTAACAATGCAACTGTTGTAACTAAAAATTTGGGTGAAATTTTTAGATATGATGCTGTTTTCTAATACATAGTGCAAAGCAGTTTAAGAAGTTTCAAATAGGCAACTTCAACCTGAAGGATTAACAAAGTAGAGCAGCTCTCTTTGAATCCATATGTAAAGCATCATCATCTACAGTAGATTTCATTCCTTTACTTGGTTCATCCTATAGGTTGAAGTTGTCGATATAAAACTTCTTAAACCACCTATGAACTAACAAGAGGACCTTACGGTCTCAGAAATTCAGTTCGGGATGAGACTTTGCAGGTTAGTAGTATACCTCAAGGGTGTCCACCCAGAAGAATTGTAAAGCACACTAGCCAGAAGATTCCGAGAAAAAGGGCTCTAACGTTTTAATCGCAGCTCATATACTGGTCGATTTTACACTATGGTAGTGCAGCGAAATGGCTGATTCTGTAGTGAACTCACTTGCAACATGAGCGATCTACGTCATATATATGAAACATAGCAATACAGCATTAATATAAAATTTACAACTGATTATCGCACGGAGAGAGAATGTTATTTTGACTGATACAGTATTGGACAAAATAACTAATTTCAATTGCTCAGTAATAGTTATTTCATTATCAATCTAAAATAATTTTACACTAATTAAAATCTATACAATATAATTATAATAATCCAAGTACTAAACTACCTTCTTTAGATGTTTGGATTCCTCTTTTTTGACACTGAGTGGCAGATTTCTCAAGAAAACGACTTCCCTCCTTTGTCGCTTCCAGAGATATTCCACAGGACTAAATTAAAATAAAGTTTTAATTTCTGAATTTTGATTTTTATGCATTTTTAAAAAACTAAACTTACAGATTTGTTAAGAGCTTCTTGACTATTGTCTTGATCTGAAAATTTAAAAACAAATTAAATAAAAACATAATATAAAAATAACAATAATATGGTAAATCTTACTCTGAGATCCTGGTAATGCAGGAAAATCTTCACTATGAATCTGAAACTCATTTGACTCATTGGTGGGTTGTTTCACCATCCCAACTACAAAAGATTTATTATTATTTTTATTTTTGAAGAAAAGAAAATTTAATTAAAAGAACTGTACACACCATACTGAGGTCTCCCTGCCATAGGATTAGGAGGAAGTGAAGGATTGGAATTTGTATCCTGAGTACTTCTATTGGTAAGTGATGGAAACTCTGATAGATCTAGAGCTGGAATAAGATAATCTGTTAAAAGAATAACAATTTATATTCAATGTATTAAAAATCTATTTCTCTTACCAGGACTCGATGAAAAGGTATTCTGTAAACTCCCCCCTAATAAATTTTGAGAAATGAAATTCCTAGAATTATGAGAAATGCCATAACCTGACATCCCACTCATTGATCCTGCACCACTGTATTGTAAGATAAAAAATTTTGGAATTAAAAAAGTGAATAAATAAAAATTCAATCCAGTTAATTATAACAAAGTTAACCTCTTAATGAAATCAGTGAATAGATGCTTATTTAAATATTCCAACAATTTATCACTATAAATAAATTTATCAATAGATAGTGATGTCTATCAGAGAATTTACAATAATTTTAAATAAATTTATAAAATTCTGAAAAAGCAATGACACTGATGGAATTTTAATTGAAAAATAATGTCAAATTTTTCTCTGTTTTAAAATATCCTACTATTCTTATTTGCTTACAAAATAAATTTTTTTTATGCTACCCAAAAATGATCCTTATAATGGTCTACCAAATAGAGATGTATTTTAGTTTTTAGCCCAGTTACAACAGAGAAGTTCACTAGCAAACACATTGGTAGATAGAGCCATACACCAACCAAAGCCGGCTTTGGTTGGTGTATGGTTCTATGTTTAATGAGTTAGTCGATGTAGTTTGTTTACGTTGGTAGATTGGATGTACAGTAGATTCCCCTATAAAACCGTTTCCTATAGTTATGATTCCTATAAAAATTGTGGCAGTATCCGTAAACAACGGTAAAAATAACTCCTATAATACGTAAAACGTCATCGGGCAGCCGAACTACTTTCCCGCCGTCCGTAGCGCNCTAAAAGCAATCTGTCCATTTTTTCATGGATGGCATATCTTTGTTTCTCAGTTGTGATTTTTGTTACTCCTTTATTAGCTTGAGTCTTTTTGATTACATCTTCTTAGGTTAAATTTATCTACTGTAGATATGTTGAAGTCATCTGCCTACAATCAGGGGTGGATCTACATAGGAACTAATAAGGCTTAAGCTCTGATCCCGATTGTCAAGAACCCACAAAAATTGAATTATCATTATAAATTTTTAATATATTTTTTTGTACATAACTTATTTTTTGGATAACTGATTATCTGAACAACCCCAGTCCCCAATTGATTTGGATAAACAATGCTCTACTA